CTCAATGGGAATATGTAGTCGGCGCGGAATCCGACTTGATTGCACCTCGCCCTAGAGTCACACACAGACTGGAATCGCCTGATAGGAACAATACCGACGTCGGTGAGACGTATGTCACGGTAGTTCTCAAATCTTTTTTGTCTTCTTGTAAACAGGTACATATATGATGAAATGAATCCCACAAAGCAAAGGGAGACCAGAACGGCTATTTCTGGCTTGTTAGCCGTCATCAACCACTCATACCCAATCTCAAGGGTTGGAACCCCCGAGATTTTAACCAGGGACCTTTGGTCATTGAATTCAATACTCTACCACGGGCTCCTTTCTTTGTCGGTTGAGATCGGGGATATGATGAATATGTGCTTCGCCAATCTAGTAGATGAACAATTAAGTCCCGCTTTGCTCTAGAGCCCATAACGTGAACACGCCAGACCGTCACATAGTGACTATGATGACGGGTTCACGTTGTGAGCTCCTGGGCAAAGCGGAGCTTAATTGTTCCTCTACTAGATCAGCGAAGCACATATATTCAGGTACGTATTTGCCAGAGGCCAAGTCATCAGGAAAGGTCCCGGCTCTTGTCCAGTCAACTCATTGAGCCAAGACGCCATGTTGTCGACACAAGACTTGTAACTTTCGTCGGGTATACCATCCTTTCAAGGTGCCTTAATGTTGCACATCGGCGACATCTTCAGAATACGGGTCGTATGACACTGGATATGTAAGGGAAGGAAAAGACTCCGCTGTAAATGGGAGGAAGGGGGTGCTGGGCTCGGTATCATTGTTGCTGAGGTGCTCGGAGTGCTCACGCCAGTGCTCAAAATTGGCCGAGATGTCAGCAATAAAGCCGCCATCCACACCACGAATTGAGTTACTTGGTGAAGAGAGCTTACTACTGACTTTGCGGATAACTTAGTAGAGTTTGGATTATCACCAACTTTCAAATCCTGCTTCATGGAGGCCGCTATTTCAGCCCAATATTTCTTCAGGTTTTCAGCCGATTCTAACGCCATGTCTCTGAGTTGTCAGAAAGAATAATCACTACAGAACCTTGCTCGAACAGACAACTGCAAGGTTCTGCTGATGCCTTCCCTGCGGCGTCGCGGGGGTGTATTCAAGCATTTTCTCAGCTGTCCCATAGGCTGATGTCTCCAGTGATAACCATTGGCACTGTCATCTTCGTTGGCTAGGGTCGTAAAACCACGGTGTTCCCTGCTCGTGGTCTCGGCGGTGCTGGGTTGCCTAATTTTGGCGACAATGAGGCATCAAGCGCGTGGCATTTTGGGTGCGGTTGAAGGGTGAAGTTTCAAGCATATACAAACGAGAACGTGGTACGAACCACGGGCATTACTAGTCTCGGCACCACCCGGCGATCTGCTATCATGAACCCAGACGCAGAACCCTAAACTGACTAAC